ATTGTACTTGGTCGCAGCTTTTTATGGCAACGGTTTCTGTTTTTGTATGTGAGCTGCATTATGATGCCCGCTTTTTCAGGTGGGCGAATTATACGCTATTGTTTGAGTTTTTTGCTGACGAATCTACAAGTTCGTGTCCTAAGTCTTTTGTATTTTTTTAAGTTGCTTGGAAATAAAGTCATATAGACAAGGTTTGTAAGTTAAACAAACAGAAAATAGACAGATATTATAGGTTGTTATCTTATAAAATATGTTCTCTTTTAATTTCTTTTCAAAGTTATGATTTCTAATTTTTTTTTTGTCGAACGATTTGCTTTTATGTCCAAAAATATAAATAAACAATATTTTTTTTTAGCTTTATTGAGAATTTTAATGAATAGGCACTTAATTGGTAAATAAAAAGCAAAAGCAATTTAGTAAAAAAAGTTAAAATAACGAAAAAATGGTTACTTCTAAATCCTTTTACACTTTCAATAAGTATTTCACATTAACAACTATTCTCATTCATTTATCTTATGTATCCATTCTTACCATCTACATACCATGTTTTGCGATTAAGGAAACACATTTTTTATCGACCCAAATAAGGCATACTTCGTAGTTTCTTGTCTCTTTTTGTAGCTAATGAACTCTCACAGTTTATTTGCGCCTAAAAGTCAACAAATGCCACACCACAACAGCACCACCAAGCACCGACAAGAACCGCTTTGAATTGCTTTTGTCAGGTCATTAGCGTTGACTAAAGTCGCCTTAACTTAGACTCCTTTGGAACGGGCCAATACCTCTCCCCCCACCCCCTTTTCTGGCCACGCCACTGTCACAGTAACAAAGTGTTGCAACAACGTTGCATTTGGCTACGTTGGCGGTCGTTTAACGAGCACAAAACCCAGCCTTGGGCAACATGAAGCAACAACAACACGGAGGAGAAGAAGGACTCGTCTCCATCACCCGAAAAAAACATGACCACCGATGGTTCAGAAGAGGCAGGGGGCTTGCTGAGACTTTATTACAACTTCTATAAATGATTTCCGCTATTAAAGTGAAACATTTTTGCATAATTTTTCACTTAGAAAGGACAACAAGTAACAGCACCAACGAAATCGATCAAGAGCAGGGGGTCGGTTGTCGGGTGGCGGGGGAATTCCTCACGCTTCATGAGGCCCGCCAGGTATGCCCGAAAATTCCACATCACAACGCCTACCCAGACCCAGACCCAGACCGATATACTCGTGATCCGAGTTAAGGGCCGCCTGCCAGTCCTCGTTCATCGTCATCGTCAACGTCTTCTTCGGTCGGTTTTTGATAATGCCTCCTCCTCCTCCTCCTCCAACTCCATCTCCATCTGAGGACCCCTCCTCCGAATCGCGTCCATCTCGTAACCTGTTGAAATGTGTGACAAATTGGGCGTAAAGAGGCCTCCGTCCTTCCCCTTCCCGAGATTCTGTCCCATTAAACCCCCGAGCATGAAACGTGGGCGTGACAGCACCGATTTTAGTTCAGATTTTTTTAAGGCTTTTCTTTCGCACAAAAGACCGAAAAATATATGTTTCGTGCAGAAATTGAGTCATAAATTATTATGTTTATTAAATTTTGAGTTTAAGTGCGGCTCGCGGTATGAATTTATATATAATTATATGAGCTTAGTAAAAAAATATATAATGAGCCCATACGCTTAATGAAATAAAATCAAACGCATAAAAATGTCCAGCAATAAAAAAAGTTTAATCTTTAACTTTTTAAAACAAATGTATACATAGATGAAAATATTTTCAAAAAATCAGAAGTGATCACGCCGTTTATACATTTTTAAAATTCTGTTCATACTTTATTGTAGAAATTCATATAACCAATCTGATTTTATCTCAGTTTGATTTACGATACTTTCTTGGTAAAATAAAATATAAAATACATGCCCTCCATCTGTTAAAATCCATTCACAGTTGAATTTCCCAGGGTTTTAATCGTTTTCACTTTCCCCCTTAAACGGCCGCGTCTTTTTCCACACATTGGACACTTGTTAACGGACAAATCGGCAACAAAATTAATCACACAACATGAGATGTGTTGCGGCTAAAAGGTGTTTATGTTTTTTCGTAGGCTTTGCTTTTTAGCAGCCGTAACTGGCATCTTGTACAATTTCTTAAAAACTCATTAAAATTGTTGGCTGGCAGAGAAACATACATAGTAGAGATACATATTTCCCAGCTGCCACAACATTAAAACAGCATTGAATAGAAAAAGGAAACAAGGCGGACGAAAGAAGAAAGATGCAGGCAAGCCAAACGAAAAGCAATTTTAATGAAGCCAAAGTCGCAGTCACTTGTTTGCAGTTGCTGCTGCTGCTGTTGCATTTGCAGTTGTTTCTGTGGCAGCCCGCATTGTTGCTGCCTTATAAGCACGGCATGCATTTGTTGCCCGCAATGCGAGTGGCACGATGTAATTGACATCATTAGACTAAAGCGCAGCGGGTTCGACTAGAAAGTGGCCGGCTCTTCCTCTTCCTTCCCGGCTGCGCGGCACCGTTAGCCATATAACCGTTCTACGGTCGATTCAAGCCACCCACTGCAAGTTTGTGTCCTAAGTCTTTTGTATTTTCTTGGAAATTCTTTTCAATAAAATTTTATGGCAAACAATATGCTATTAGATTATTTTATAGCAAATCATTTTTTTGCTTTCACGTTATTTTAAATATAAAAATAGTATAAAATTCATTTCAAATATAATATTTAAATATTTAAATAATAATTTTAATTTAAACAATTTAAAGTTTTATTTATAATCATATTCTTGAATAGTAATTTCTTGACTGATTATTCAATATGTTTCGATAAGTAACTATTAAAACATATGGAACAAGTTCGTGTCCTAAGTCTTTTAAGTTTTTGAGGAATATCTTTTATCTGTGTAGCATAAATATTTTCAAGAAAATGAAAAAAAGAATACTCAATGAAGAGCTTTGTTTAAGCTATTTGTGCAGAATAACTAAAACTGATCCATTTTAACGGATTACAAAATGTTCAATTTGGCATGTTCGTGTCCCAAGTCTTTTATATTTATTATGATTTGAGCTATTTGCTAGTTTTAAAGGCCAATAAAGTTAGAAACTGAATGAGTTAAATAATAAACATTAAAGTTTAAGAACTTTTTTATTCCATCGAGCTCCAATGCAATCGAAATAGGTAGACTAAAGTCAAACTACAAAGATACCCCTGCCCTCCACTGCACCGTTACCTCGATTACCATTCCACGGACCGCACGACCCACCGCGATGAGGAAAATCCCAAGGAACCCCACCGCGAGCCAACGAGGGCCCAATTATGCAAATTATTAAATGAAAATAAAATCTAATATAATTATATCGTGCTGGAGATTCGAATTCCTAATGCCATTGTCACATAAATTTCGAGTTTAAACATTTTCGGTCCAGACTTTCGTTGGGAATTTATGGGATTCATGCTCACCATGGAATGTTGCTGGAGACTGGAAACCGCTTGCTTTGTTCTCCACTCACTTCTTTTCTTTTTATTGTTTCTCGCTTTGTTTTATCACAGGCTGCAGAATTATTTTGAATTAATTTAATGGGTGAAAATGTGGCACATAAAAAGGTAATTATACGGAATTAGAGCAAACTTGATTGCAATTTTCTAACGATTAAGTTGGCAATGGGTCAATAATCATACCTAACGATCAGATTGGCTTAATGAATGCACTCAAATTGATTAATTTGCTTTTATATGAGACCGTTATTTGCTTGCTTTTCGCAAGTTTTGTTTAAGTATTATATAAATTTGAAAACTTATGCAGCTGTCGTGGTTGCATAAATTAAAAATTCATTTTTATGCCTCTTATGTGTCATTTTGGTTAGTAATTTATGTAGAATACGGCTTGGCCAACAACAAGAATCAGAAGAAGAAGAAGACCAAGGAGAAGTCGCACTCACTCACACACACACAGTTACAGAAACACAAACGCGGGTCAAACAAGTCAAGCAACTTTTTTTCATCTCTTTGGCCAATCTTCGGATTGCCTTCCTTTTTTCTTCATTTTTTCCCCTTGTTATTAGTAGCATTTACTTAGGAATGCACCAAAGCGAGAACGTTTCGGAAAAATTACAACAGCCACAAGTGCACAAGTGAAAAAATCAGTTGGAAAACGCTTTTGGCCTGGTTTCCAACGGAGAAAGAGAGCAAAAAGGGGGAAGAGAGAGAAAGAGAGAGATCCATAATTCCCGATCGCGAACAGATGTCAAAGCTAGTGGTCGAGTTCAAAGGCCGTTGCCGAAAATCTCCCAGCTTTTTGGCCCGCATTTTTTCGCAACTTTACTGACTTTTCGCTTTTGTTTTTTATTATTTGGCTTGGCCAACAACAAATTTGCAACAGCCATCGCTACACACACACTAACACACACTCACAGGTTTTCTTGTTGCTCGAAACGGAGTCCGCGTTTTTCTTTACTTGTTGTACGAGCCGCATGCAAAATTCAACTGTGCCGTGAAAATCGAGATTTGAGTCGAGAGAGCGGCTTGAAAAACAGGTACACAACTATGTGGCGCCACAAAATCCATTAAAAGAAACTGATGTCTGGCCACTCTAATGGAGGTATGGGAGCGATTGGTGATGCCAGATGGTTTTATGCACTGAAAACAAAATAATATCACTTTACTCCTGCTCTGGTTAATTTCATTTGCCCTAGTTATTCAATCTCCCAGACTTTTAAATTTAAACCACGCAAAGTTTGATACAATTACCTTTTTCTTAACCATTTCAATCCTAATATTAGCTAATATATACATTTTGAATGTTTGCTTTAACTCAGTTAAATTTTGAAAATCAAATATATACAACATTTCAAATATTTTCTAGGATCTATTTATTTGTAATTTTTTAATATTACAAAACAATGTAGTTTCAAAAGCCACGTTTTGCTCTCTAATGCCTTTTAGAAATCGTTTTTATTATTTATAAAAATAAAGTTTCCATCCAAAAAAAACAACTTCAAATTTTACGCAAGTAAATTGGTCTTTATTTTTTATTGAATATTGAACGTAAACTACTAAAGTTATATCTTAGAATTAACGCTAATACGATACTTAACCAAATTAATTTGTACCTGAAACGTTGGGTCCAAGTCGTCTCACATTGCTTTACTATTCTTCTTCTCCGCCGAGGGGAATAAAAGAGGGCAGGGTCCCCAGTTTTGGACGTCTGCGAACGCCGCCAGTGACGTCAGATTCCGTTGGGTCCTCTTCTTTCGCCTCAGGCTCCTCCTTGTTCACGACAGCGTTGGGTAATGTTGCTTGCACCTTCTCGCCTTCGCATCTGAAGTACCGTGAGCTGGTGGGCAAATCATCCTGCTTTGCAGACTCTTTCGGGGTTTTTGGGATGCTAAGTGGCTTACTGCCCACTTCAGGACGGGGCTTGACCAACCGCTTTGATGGTGGCTTTTTACAGAATACGCATTTGGACAACTCGCACGTTCCCTTGCGCTCTAACTCTGGGCAGGCGAACTCGTGACGCTTGTTGCACTTAAAGAACAGAGGAGTTAATAGGTTATCATTGGACCTGGTGACCTGACCAACTTACCTCGGCAGCCAGCGGACAGTAGCCACGCACAAAGTCAATGCAGATCTCGGCCTTCCGGCTGAGTTTCTTGTGCAGGTAAGGGCAATCCTCGCGGACGCAAACACCGCGCAAATAGTACCGACACACGGGCATCTTCTCCAGGGTGACATTATGCGAGAGCAGGCAGTGGGCCTTGGTGCATTCGCCGCGCAAAAAGCTGCAAATAAAGAATTTCAAGAAGGTAACCGCATTGGGGACTCTGCACCGGAAACGCCATCGACGGTTTAGCACTCCCCGCTTGGCCTGGGACAAACCTGACACAGATGGCGACCTGCCGTTTGTCGTGGAGCTTGCGACACTTGCCGCGGCTATGGGCAGCGCACTTGCCCAGTTTCTGGAAGATGGCACAGGGCACATTGGTCTTCACCAACGACTTGTTGAGCAGCGTCAGACTTCTCTGCCTGGCGGTGATCAGGTGGGCTCTCGACACATGATTGCTGGTTCGTACAAAGACATTCAGGGTCTTGGGCGAAGCCACATAGGTGAGACCGCCAATATCAATGCGTCGCAGGATACTTCGGTTCACGCTCATCTGGGAAGCAGCAGCTGCTGAAGGTGGAACTCTCGTTAGACGACAGCCCGATGGATCTAGGATGAACTTATTGCCGCTGACGAAGAGCGTTCTTCCAGAATCCGAACGCTTGAGGGTCCTGGGACACGTCGATTTGGTTATCCTTGTTGAACTGGCATCCACCTTGGTTATCTTGTTTTTCGATATCTTCTTGTACATCACGCCGTGTATGCTGACCATGCTGAGCGACTTATTGACGCCTAGCTTTAGCACCTGTGGCTTGGAGCTGGAAGAGGAATGTTAGATACATTTAGGAAGTACCGAATTATTTCTCTACTTTGGCTTAGTTACTATAATATCATAATGGATGCACTGTCATTTTCACTCCTGCTACAAATTGAAGTTCTAAAAATTAAATGTGACTTACCTCAATTTCTTGCTAGACTCTGCTTCATTGGTGCGTCTCAGGGCGTACTGGCCTACAAACTCACGCAGATGACGACGCTTCTTGACCAGAGGTGTACATGTGAGCGATATGGAGCGCACTAGCTTATACCTAGTGCGCTTAGTTGGTGGCACAGGCGGAGTAGGATGGGATGCAGTAACCGCAGACGTGGCCTTAACAGCTCCTTGGCGCACAATCTTCCGCTTGGAAATGCTTACCAATGGCGGCTGCACCAGGTTAGAAACAGGGCGAGCGGGCGGAGGAGCAACAGACCTCACTGGAGCTTTGCGCACCAGACACGTTCTCGCTTTGCTGATGATCTTGGCGGGCGGAGGTGGTGGCATGGCCAGAGCAGGACTCGGTGGCAATGGAGGATCCTGTTGGTAATAGGAGGCGGAAACCTGTTGCAGAAGGAGCTTTTGCTGTTCCCGCTGGAACTCTTCGTACTTGGCCTGCTGGCGCTGCAGGAAGTGCGGATTGATGTGGATGGCGGGCTGGGACTGCGGTGGCGCATGGAAGGGCACCTGGAACGCCTGGAACGGCAGCTGATGCGCAGTTTGACCTTGCAGTTGGAAATTAGGATTTATATACACCTTCCGTGTCATGGAAGGCTGGCCCTCGTCGGCGCTTATATGCGGCAACATGTCGTCCACTTCGTTTAGCAAACCTATTTAATGAATCTTTTTCGATCTCTGGGTATTTTTAGCTTTAAACACTTATTTCTAATGCTTCTTTGTACTGATTTTTGTTACGTGTGTTGCAGTGTGAACGTTAGTTGTGTTTTGTTAATTACCAAAAAATACTGGAATGTTGGGAGTGTCTTACTTTAGAAATACTAATTTAAATTATAGCTAATGTTATTTTGTTGGTGCTAATCTCTAAAAACACTTAGGGGCTTATTTGCGGTACATGGTCTTTTTTTAAATACAAGAAATTGTTTTAATACACACTTTAATAGAAATGATTAAAAATTTCAAATAAGTTTCATAAAATAAAATACCGCGCCAACACGGTAACACTAAAAAACGTTTATGGTTTTTTGTGAATGGCAACATCATATGTTTCGCAAAACGTGGATTTAATTTGCGGAGAACTTTTTAAACGATAATTTTGAATTGAAATGGGCAAGGATCGAGGTAGGGGACGCAGGAATCACCACTCCGGGCCGTACAAAAAGAGTAACTGGCGTGGCCAGAAGAGGGATCGCCCCCAAAACAATGGAGGCCAGAGCAACAGGTAAATATCTCGTCTTATAAACAACCTTAGTGTTAACCGGCATTTTTCCTTGGGCAGAACAACGCCACAGCAGAAATCCACGCTGCGTGAGAACCAAGTGGGCATCACAGAGTTCACCAATCCGGAGGCACCTGGTTTTACGGGCATCCTCAAGTCGAGGTTCTCTGATTTTCACGTAAACGAGATCGATTGCTCAGGAAAAGTCCTGGAACTGAACGATCTAAGTGTGCCAAAAGTAGCGATTGTTGGTTTGTATTAAATCTATAAAGAGTCACTTCTAGTGATAACGTAACCCATGATATTCCAGCTGTTGCCGAAAAAGAACTGGACAACTGGCGGCAGGAACTGGAGGCAGTGATTGGTCCTGAAGTATGGAAGGATATAGCCAATTTGGCGGAGGCTAAACACGATCCAAAGATCGAGCAAAAGGTTGAGATCGATGTAACAAGTCTGGACAAGGAGCAGCGCACACAAGTCCATCAGCTAATTAAGCAGCTTTATAAAGGTAAACTGCTATCCACCACCATTGGACAGCAACAGGTTAAGCCCAAAGCGTCCTTGGAGGAGAAGGATGAAGTTAAGGATGAAGCACCAGCTCAGGAAGATCCCCCGGTGCCAGAGGAGGAGAAGAAAACTATAAGGATACTTAAACCGAAACCAGGAAGAGGTTAGAAGCAAGGATTTACTAGGAAAACATAGATTAAAAATACCATTTTAATAGGGGATAATAGATGGAGCTTTCCAGCGGATTATGTGACTTTCTTGGTGCACAAAACCAATTTGGTTACCAGTGATGTGGCTTCAACTCTTGCCGCGCGACTCAAGTAAGTTAAATTAATCCAAACTCGAAGGCTAAGGGTATCCAGAAGTATTTTCCGACCTTATTCTTACCAAAATAGATTTTTAGTGTCCCTGCTACTTTAACTTTGAGTACAAATTTAAATCCTCAGAGATCACTCAAACATTCCTGATATAATTTGGAACCTTTTTTTGTACCTCCATTTATAATGCTTTGTTTTTCGACAGCTTGCGACCATCGCAGGTTAACTACAGCGGCATCAAGGACAAGCGGGCCAAGACAACACAGAACTTCTCCGTCAAACGCCGAACGCCAGAAAGCATCTTAAATGCAGCTCGTTGCCAGCGAAATGTCCAAATCGGTAACTTCGCATTCCAATCCAACACACTCAAGTTAGGAGATCTGCAGGGCAATCGCTTCCGCATCGCATTGCGGCATATAGACAAGGAAAAACGGGGCGAGATCGAAGTAGCCCTGGAATCTCTGCGAGAACGGGGATTCATCAACTACTATGGTCTGCAGCGGTTTGGCAACAGTGCCAGCGTGCCCACTTATGAAGTGGGTGTGGCTTTGCTAAAGAGCGATTATAAACTAGCCTGCGAACTGATCCTGAAGCCACGCGACTCGGATGTGGAGTTTATGCGTCCCATCCGCGAGGAGTGGTTTAAAAATCGTGACTCGGCAGCTGCAGCTGCAAAGATCTACGGCGACAAGTTTATCGAGAAGAAGCTGCTGGACGGCTTAGCCCGATTTGGGGAATCCGATTACTCCTCGGCCTTGCGGCAGATACCACGCAACATGCTTATGTTGTATCCACATGCCTACCAAAGCCTGATCTTCAATAGAATTGCCTCTAGAAGAATCAAGGAGTTTGGCCTAAAATTGATACCCGGGGACTTAGTTTATGTAGAGCAAGATAAGTCGGATGGTGTGGAGGAACAAGAGCAGCAGGCGGAGGATTTGGATGGACCAAAGGAAGCGGATGCCATTGAAGATCCCCCAGAAACTGTTGAAGAGGAAGACACCATCGAAGAGGAATCCCTTTTCAAGCGTAAGGTTCGCCCACTGACTGCAGAGGACATAGCTAGCGGCAAGTTCCACCTTTCCGACGTGGTACTTCCTCTGCCAGGACACGACATCACCTATCCCAGCAACGAGTGCGGTGCCTGGTACGAGGAAATGCTGGCCGAAGTGGGTCTCTCCTCGGATCAACTGAAGCACAAGGAGAAAACCTATGCTTTGGCTGGGGCGTACCGCAAGATGATCATATCGTCTAGCGATCTCAAGTGGAACTTCAGACTGTACAACACCCCCGAGGACACACTGATTGCCTCCGACTGGGAGCTGCTAAAGAACATTCCAGTAACACCAGAACCCGCTGAGGATGAGGGCAAATTCCTGGCACTATTGCTGGAATTCTCGCTACCCACCGCCGCCTACGCCACAATGTTCCTTCGGGAACTCTTGAAGCAAGATACATCGTCGGCCTCGCAAACGCTGCTGGAAAAAGAGGCAATGTCTAAGGGGGAAACCGAAAAGGAGGTGGTCGCAAAGGAAGAAGCCATGGAGGAGGAAAAAGAGGTGACTGCGGAAGAAGTGCAGGAAACTGAGGAGGCGGAAATGCAGGAGGCTAAGGAGGAGGTGCAGGCCAACTGAGATACCAAAAATCAATATGCTGGGGAAATCAATTTTACGCGCGCTTCGTATCCAACTTCAAACCAACCACAACAATAACAAATGCGCACGTGAGGACGAGGGCTGCTCTCTCGCATCCCGTGGCTTGCACCCTCTCTCTCTCGCTTCCGTTCACTCTCTCTTTCTGCCTGGGAGAGTCCTTTTGGTCCTGTCCCTTTGGCTGCGATTTCATTCGTTCGGTGGCCAGCAATGTGAAAGCTCGAAACGACGCGCTGCGCAGTTTTCCCAGCTCAAAAGTCCAAGTCGCACGGTTTTTCCCAGCTTTCTAAATGAAGAGCAATAACAAATTATCAATTAACAACAAATAACAAATAACTACGGTTCCCCGTAAACCCGAAGACTCGATCCAGTGCATCCATCGCAGATATTGAAACCAAAATAGGAACCTAAGGAGGAGAGCCAAGGTGAATTACCAGTTAAATGTAGCATTTAAACGTTTTGGGCGCGTATTTTGAAAATCCATTTATTTAGGCGTAAGTATAATTTGAATGTTAACAAATGTCTATAATTATAGAGCGGACAACAACATTGAACTTTACCAATCACAAAACTGTACAATATTTTATTTCGGCTCTGTCAGCCTATTGATTTTTGTTGTGTGCTTGTGCTGAAATCAATCGATAATACGGTGTTAATACCAAGAGCAGGGTCCGGGAATGGGGAAGGTGGCTGGCCGTAGGAGTAGTTCATATAGTGGCTTAGTGCGTCGGGGTGTGGGATTTGGTGGGTTCGAGGGGTAGTGGCATCAGTCGTTAAGGGTGCACGACGCTCCTCGCTCGTTATGTTTTTGTTTCGGCCCGCCCCCCTTTGGGAGTCCTCAAATTAATAAACTAAATGCTTGTTTTGGCGTCGTCGCCCCCGACCCGGTGGGGGGTCTTCCCCCCCGATCCGATCCAGACATGGGATATTGGACATGTTATTGCTTGCGCGCGCACTCTTTGACTCTTTGACCAGTTCCCAGCAGCTGCGTCATAGTAGGAGTTTTTTGGCGTGGCTGAATTCGATTTTCCATCGCCTACCACCTGCCCCGCCAACCAAAAGTTTTTGCCCATACAGATAGCTTCCTACTGCATTGCTATATTATCCCTTAAATCTTTGGTTTACAAATGACCTTTCAAATTAAATCTCTCCTTGATTTGATGCTTTGTCATGAGGTTCATAAAATCCTTTTTTTTTTGTATACTAGCACTGAAGGCTATTTAAACTGACATAGTAAAAATAGAATAGAATAACATTTAAGATGCTCAGTTACAGAAAGAAAACATGCATTTGTAGAGTCCAAAATTTTTACTTAAAATTAACTTTAAGTTGAAGTATTACAGTTTTAGACCATCGAAAGGATTTTATCAGATTATTATTTTAAGTTAGAACTCATAAGTAAGCTGTTAATTTTAATCAGACATTCGTGATATTATGTCGCTCAGAATTTGAGCAATAGAATCTTAATTCTTCAAATAATTCTATGTTGATTTTACAAATTTGAATGTTGCAACAAAGTTAAAAGGAAATATTAAGTTTGTAACTTAAGAAGTAGTAAATGGGCTATCACTGTGATGAATTCGATTGATTTTAAAATTGAATTAAAATAAGTGACTAATCGTATTCTATTATTGAAAGCTTTCTATATAACTATATCATCGATTGGCTCTTCGTTGAGGGCGCGCAGATTACATTTGCAAAGGTAGGCGAGAATCCTTTTCTCAGCCTTAATCCGGTTGGCTTCTCCCAGTCCTTCAAGCAGGGCCTCGATCCTTTTTTCCGTTTTAGCGGGAGTGGCGGGTGCTGCAGGAGCAGGATTTGGGGCTGGTAGTGGTGCTCCCGCCACGGCCAACTGCTCATCCATGGCCTCCTGTAGCGGATCCTCCTCGTCGTTGACTTCCTCAATGGATTTCAGTGAATTCCTAGTCACATCCCCCGAATTTCGATGATTATTGGGGTAAAGGTGACGTTGCAGGAAATGTAGTTGCGGCAGGAGGCTCCAATCGGAGGCAGTACCTCCGGACTTTTCTTTGGCCAACTCCCTATGCTGCTTGGCAACCAAATGTTTCCACCGACTGACACATGCAGCAGCTAAGTGGACATATAATTAATTTAAAAGTATTAATTTAGAAAACCATATTGTTTACCATCTGTATTTAATGAAGTGGAGATGCTGCGCCAGATTTCCGTATTCCGCTTTTTATTGCCTTCGTAGGGGGTGCTCCTTAGTTCCCGCTCATAAAGCTTGGGATTGGCTCTTACCAACTCTATAAGTCGCGTGTCGAATTCCGACATTTCAATATATTCAAAATAAAAACAAATAAAAAGTTTGTAAACAAATGGTAACTAGCGGATTGGAGTGACCGTTACTCTACCTGATAAATATACTGGCACGAAGAAACAGGGTTGTTCGCCACTCGTACTCACCACACCTGGGGTGGTGAGGTGGAAATGGGAGATTCAAAAAGAGATTCACCCCACAGACTGGCGGCATTTATTGATTTATTTATTGATTTTATCGTTGTGCAGGCGCTGCCGGCCGCAGAGATGGCCGCCGAAAACTATCACCTCAAGTGGGACTCGCACCTCTCCTATCTGAACTCTTCCATAGCCACGCTTTACAAGTAAGTAATAAAATTACAGAAATCCCTTAATTGCTAAAATTATTATAGCTCAAAAGTGATGATTAGTTTAATGCTCACATTTTTATAAACTTTATGTGTTAGAAGCATGGCTTCTTCTTTTATATATGTACACATAGTTGCTATAACTGTAACACACATAAATTTATGAAACATTTTTAATCATTATCGAATGTTGTTGTGAACAAAAATCAAATTTAAAATCTTTATCATCTAAAACGTATGCCAAAGAACTCTTTATTTTGGGTAATCACACTCACATTATTAATAAAGATAAATTAACCTTAACCTCGTATCAATTAATTTGTCACCTTATATATTGTCAGATCTTAAAAATATCATGTCAAAGGCTAAAACACTACCATCCTTATTAATGTATTAAAAATGTAAATTAACCCCTAATGTTTTTCTATTAACTCAGGAACGAGAAGTTCGCCGATGTGGTCCTGTACAGCTCCTACAACAGCAGTGGCATCCCCTCGGACATTCCCACGGTGGGCATCTCGGCCCACAAGTTCATCCTCAGTGCTTCGTCCCAGTTCTTCGCGACCATGTTTGAAACGGCACCGATCACGAACCCAAACGGAGTGCTCTATGTAGTCTTGCCGCCGGATCTGAGTCACCGGGCCATCCAGATCCTGGTGCAGTACATGTACAGCGGCGAGGCCACCGTCTCCAACGACATACTCAACGAGGTCCTGCGCGGCGGCGAAATCCTCAAGATTCGCGGCTTGTGCCGCACCAGCTCTTCCAATGGCGGTGGCTCCGGTTCGGTGGTTACCACATCGCACCATCCTCATCCGCTGGCCGGGCATATGCATCCGCGGGAGGCGAGCGCCATGTACATGTCCAATGGCACCCGTTCCGCCCTGCCACCTCCACCGCCGCCACCGTCAACCATGTCGGCTCAGCTCCAGGGAGATCTTTATGCCAGCAAGCCGGGAGGATCCACACGATTTGCCCTGGATCACCACCACCTGTCGTCGCACCACAACCACCTAAATCACCATCATTCCCAGCAGCAACAATTCCGAGGTCTCGGGGTTTCCGTAATGCCCAAGGACTCTCCCGTGATCATCAAATCCCCAAAGATGGCCGCTCACACAGGACTCCTTACCGTGGCTAGCAGCAGCAAGTTGGGCATCTCGGTCAACAAGGAGGTGGCCATCGATCCGGAGGACAAGTGCTGCTTTGCGGCTCCTGGCCAGGTTGACCCACAGTCACATCCACCTCCACCAACATCGACATCAACGACTGGCGGAGGAGGAGGCGGAGCAGGTGCCTCTGCATCCCAACCCATATCCATCTGCACGGAGGTGGGATGTAGCAGCTGTCCCATGACCGCTGGACCCAGTGCGGATCAGGCGGAGACCACACTGCGGAGGTCGGAGTACGAGGAGCAGGCACTGCGGGAGCGGAATGAGGTGGGACTGGTCTTCGAACGACGCCTGAGGAGGGAAAGCGCCTGCGAAAGATGTGAGTTAATTGCAATACAAAATGAAATCCTCTTAAAATGTAATATTTGATTATAAAAATGTATATTCATTTATTAATGTTCAACTTTTAAGTCTGGAAAACATAAATTTTTTTTCTGGGTAAATTAAGTTTTACATTATTTAGCGATTTTAAAAGATCATTTCATGAACATCTTCATGATGAAGAAATAGCTAAAATATAGCTTAAGAATTCGGAAATTGATTTTAAAGGATTTTATAGTAAAATAAAATAATATTTGTTGTATTAAAAAAAAAAAAGAAGCTACAGTTCCATAGTATAAATATTAATCTTTCCTGTTAATTCCTCAGCTCGTGACTACTATGAAACTCCGCACTTTGAGCACGTGGTGTCATCCCGCCTGGCTGCCACACCACCGCCACCTCAGCAGCCACCACATCCGCCGAACCTTCGACATCCGCACAACTTCCTCACCATCAAACAGGAGCCGACCGACTGGAGCAACAACCCACCAAACGCCTCCAATGCGTCCAACAACAACAACCTGGAGGAGGGGCCATTGGCATCGCCCAAGCAGCCGCTGGACTTTAAGATGACCGCCGTAAAGCTGGAGGTGAACAGGGATCGGGAAACACCCTCCGAGGAGAACGAGGAGCACACTCTGCGCGACTACAACAACTTCAAGCAACTGCTCGTGTGCGAGATCTGCCAGAAGTCCTTTGAGGACACCAAGATGCTGGTCCGACACCTGGGCACCCATGCCGGGGATACGACGGGCGGGACGGAGAGGAACCTCCTGCCCTCCAGTGCCAGCGGGAGTACGTCGACCGCCTCCAGCAATCTTGCCCTGCGAACCGTCAAAACTTATGTGCCAAAGAAACGACGCCGAGTTTCGGTAAGATGATATGATAATATTATATTAACCTAAATAATCACCATTCAGATATTCATTCAGAAAATACGTTTTTATGTGTCGATGATAGATAAATATATATCTTTTACATCATTATCATTTTAAGGATGACCTTTAAATCTTAATCCAAATCTCTAAATCTCTCAAATTCCTAAAAAAAACTATCAAACATGCAAATAAATAAAAGAGTTCGTACTCTTATACATTTTAATGTATTTTAATGAAATATATATTTTTACAGCAACAGGAGAACAATATGGACCATGATCATGTCACCCTGCTCTGCGATTTATGCTCTACGTAAGTTGACTTGACAATATAATCCTTCCAAGGGGTGTCATATTGATTCTCCTTTTATCCCTTCAGATCCTTCGATACGCCCGCGGAATGGGTGCGTCACATGAACAGCCAGCACACGGAGATCGAGCTGGCCATGTTCAACAGCAAGAAGGATGGCGAGCAGAAGGGGTGTGTGTCCTAAGGACTAGCAAGAGCACTCTGATGAACTCTGTTCACTTGCAGCCAGCAGCCACCTCCGGCGACCAGCAGCTCTTCCACAGTGTCCACCAGCCAAATGCAGCCAAAGTATCCCAGCTCCACCGTCACCCGGTCGACGCAGTCCCTCATGCTGCACAAGATGAGCAACATCGACATCGATGCAGTGGCAGCTGCAACAACATCCCTATCGTCCGAAGCTACCACCTCACCGAATACCTAAGGAGGGCCATCCGGATCAGGACATGGATTCAATAAGTAACAGCACACCATTCGAAGCTGGAGAATTCGCCACTTGAGGAATTGGATCTTTGGGATCAGCGGATAACATCAAAACACCTTTTTGTTCGATAAATTCAAGTCGTTCCAGTAATCAAAAGAGGGATGTTTATTATGCAACAGCAAGAACCGTGATCAAAATGCAACCAGTTTGCATATTTTATAGAGCAACAAACAAAATACAAAATCGCAAAAATAATTAACGAAAATGTAAACGAAACTTAGAATCGGAATCGTCTGGCAACGATGCAAAACAAAACCCAAAGAGTAATTTGAAAAGAAAGAAAAACAATATTTAACTAATGTGTGTAGAATTTTTTTTAAGTGTATGTATTTACTTAGTTTTAGATACTTATTCCCCATGTAATTACATGTAACAACAACGCGCAATTGATACGAAAAAAGATAACTATACAATTTAATCATTTAAAATGTACGAATAATTTTCATCAACGGACATTGTCAAAAAATAAGAAAATCTGTATTGTTAAAACATTCCATTTGTAGGACCAACATCAGCAAAAAGATTAAAATGCTATAATGAACATTTAATTAGAGCAGTAAATATAAAAATGATTCTATCTTTATTTCCAATTAATTTGCATTGATTATTTTTGGAATGTAATAACTGATAACTACTGTTTTGTATTACGCTATCGCGACTTTATGATGTCAGCAACTTCGTTGAATTTGTACTAGTACTTTTTTATATTTTTTATAAGGCTTCAACAGAAATTTCGAGAACTTTTTTGTACATAGATTAAGTTTTATTTTGAAATTCCGCCGATCGAAACTTTTTGCGAAAAGTCATTAACATAAATCTCTAAATGTGTGTGTGTAGTAGTTGGAAGTTTAATTAAAAACTCCCCCCAACCATGTAAAAAAAAACAATATATATCCAGAATATATATATAAAATTTACAAGCAGGCGTGATTATTAACAAACTAAGTATGTAGATGTATAAACCATGCAGGAGGAAAACTGTTTCTTCCCCAAAACAAATCGCAAATGTAGCAAAGCGTTTTAATTTAAATAAACGTCTACGATGAGAAATCGTTTTTAAAAGCGGTATCAAAAACACTGCAAATTTAAGAGTCATGGTTAAAAAAGCTCCCAAGCGATTATTCAGTCTATAAATACAGAGCGCCGTCGAAGAGAAAATTCAGTTTGGGATCCAACGTCGAGTTGACTTCAACAATAATTTCTACTCCGATACAATTTTTGCAAAAACAAAATGAGTTCTGGTAAACATTTGGCCAAAGGTAAGAGAAAATGACGTGTTCCCGGCAATAAGAGAAACGCCCATGTCATTATTTAGTCGGCAAATACAAGTGCTTTAACTACTCTTACTAAACAAATAACAATCCTCATAAATTCATGGTTTTACACATATGAATATTAATGATTGGGTTTTTTGGGGAAAAAGTTTAAGTAAAGAAGATATAACATACAGTAGATACATAATTTATTTTGAAACGAATTTTTTCTATTAATCATTCGCCCAATGCGTGATGTGAAGTATGGAAAAACCGGTATTTATGGGATCGATAAACGTCTTTATGTAAACAATTTTTATTTTGCAAAAATCATCATATTTTTTTATTAACTTTATCAATGAATTATCGGTTTTTACTTAACCCCATAAGTATAAAATGAAACAAAATATTTACACTTCAAAGAGATAACGTATCAACCAAATGTTTGTCATATAGTATCACGTATGGCCCAATCAACTTCAAGTCAATGACTTGCAATATGTTGTATACAGGGGCGGGTCCAAAAGGTCCCGAACCTAATAAATTATCAAAAAAGTTATTAAGACAACTTATTTTTTTAAAACACTCAGACAGATAATTTTTGGCCTTCCAAAAAACCCACTTTGCCTTATATATATATTTCTTATCGGCATAGAAGAAATTCCACTGATAAATCCATGTTATTAGGTTCTGCCAAGCCTGTCCTGCCTGATGATGGTCTCCTCCGTCTATACTCCATGAGGTTCTGCCCCTATGCCCAGCGGGCCCATCTCGTCCTGAACGCCAAGAACGTGCCTCACCACACCGTGTACATTAATCTCGAGAGTAAGCCGGAATGGTTGGTGGATGTGAGCGCGCTGCTGAAGGTTCCTGCCCTCCAGTTGGTGGACGAAAAGGATCAGCCCTCGCTCATTGAGTCGCTGATAATTGCAGAGTACCTGGATGAGAAGTACCCGCAGAATCCGCTCCTGCCCAAGGATCCCCTTAAGCGGGCCCAGGACAAGATTCTATTGGAGCGCTTCAGCGGCATCACCGGTGCCTTCATGAAGATCTTGACGCAGAATACCGGTCTGGAGGACTACTGGACCGCACTGGACATCTTCGAGCAGGAGCTGACCAAGCGGGGCACCAGCTTCTTTGGCGGCGACAAGCCCGGATTCGTGGACTACATGATCTGGCCGTGGTTCGAGCGCCTCTCCGTTATCAAGCTTAAGCTGCCGGAGGAGTATAACTTCGACGAAAAGCGCTTCTCCAAAATAGCCCAGTGGATTGCCCTTCTGAAGGAGGATTCGGTGGTCAAGTCCTTCTATGCCACGCCCGAGAACCATAACGAGTTCTGGCGAACCCGAAAGGCCGGCAATACAAACTACGATCTGCTGGCTTAGAGTAACTTCTACAATTAATTCAAAAAACATATTTAAATATTTACCTTAACAAAAATATTAAAACAAAAAAGAAATTAAATACAAAATAAATAAAATCTACTGGATTTGTTCTTAACTAATTAGTATAATCAATCGGATTATAATTAAGAATTTAAAAAGTTTGAATGGCTCTCAATTTCCAAGTTTTGGTTTTAAATTATATATATGGAGGATGAAAATAAGCTTTTTAATTAAGTAACATAAAGATTTTGAATGAATTCATTAAATTATAAATGAAAGATAAACTTAATAAAGATATTCTTATTCATAAAAGTTGGGGGCTCATGGCAATGAATACCAATTTATTAGTCAATGCACTTGGATATATTGCACGGTATTTTTGAGTCATGAAAAAAGGCTATATAATTCAAATAAACAATTATTAATTACCCAATTTAAAATTTTAATTAATTTCTTTCAGAATTATCTGAAATATTTACAGAATAAAATTTGCATTTTTGGAAGGTTCAAAAGAGTATTTACTGTATCAACCGGGCTGGGCATGTGTGTCAGCCGCAAAGGTTGCTCCGGCCGCCAAGTTCAGCCGGGTAAGAAAAGCCACCCGGCGAAGGGCAGCCGGCGGCCCTTTATATACCACTCGAATGGCAACCACTATCATCACTTGCATCTCCAGACCCGAGCACGCACATCATGAGCAACGGCAGGCATTTGGCTAAAGGTATGTGAATGCAGATCCACAAATATCCATGGAAACTAATAGAGAACCCCCGGCAGGCTCACCCCCGCCGGATGTGCCCGAGGATGGAATCCTGCGCCTCTACTCCATGCGCTTCTGCCCGTTTGCACAGCGCGTGCACCTGGTGCTGGATGCCAAGCAGATCGCGTACCACAGTATCTACATCAATCTCACAGAGAAACCGGACTGGCTGCTGGACAAGAATCCGCAGGGCAAGGTGCCGGCTCTGGAAATCGTGCGGGAACCGGGACCACCGGTGCTTACGGAATCGTTACTCATCTGCGAGTATTTGGACGACCAGTACCCGCTGCGATCGCTGTATCCCCGTGATCCGCTCAAGAAAGTGCAGGAAAAGCTACTGATTGAAAGATTTGGAGCGGTGCTGGGTGCCTTCTTCAGGGCTTCCGACGGCGGTGAGCTGGAGCCCTTCTGGAGCGGGCTGGACACCTACGAGCGGGAGCTGAGTCGCCGCGGCACAGACTTCTTTGGCGGCGATCAGACGGGCATACTGGACTACATGATCTGGCCCTGGTGTGAGCGTCTGGAACTTCTGAAGTTGCAGCGCGGCGCGGACTATAACTACGATGAGGAGCGTTTTCCGCAACTGGTGAGTTGATCTTTTGGGTTTTAGAGGTCCATCATTAATCTATTTTCTCAGACGCTGTGGCTGGAGCGCATGAAGCGGGATCCTGCTGTGATGGCCTTCTACATGGAGGCCGAAGTCCAAGCGGAGTTCCTGCGCACGCGCAGCTTGGGGCAGCCCAACTACAATCTGCTGGTCAAGGATGCCTGATGCACTTGGTTTATTTGAATTGTAAGCATGGAATGAATAAAACATAGTTGCGGTTCATAACCGGTTCCAACGAATTGATCTTGACGAAACCAGTTGGCGTTCTAGAGCTTGCCCTTGAAGGCTAAATCGTACTGCGGATTGCCCACAGTCTTCGATTTCTGAAACTCGGCATGAAGCTGGACATCTAGAGCAGTCTTCTTCACTTCTCCATCCTGTGCCACTAAATCGCGCCACTTGAGCTGGAATGGTAAAGTTTAGGATTATAGATCCACTTGAGCTATTTCTACTTACCAGCTGTTTAAATCTTTTGCCATCTAGTTCGTATTTCTGCTCCGTATTGATTTTCATGCTGGGAAAGCGTTCAAACCAGGGCCAAATCATGTAGTCCACGATCCCTATGGTCTGGCCAGCAAAGTAGGGAGTTCCTCTTTTAGTCAGCTCCAACTCAAATACATCCAGGGCGTTCTCAAACTTCTGTAGAGCATCTGGAGGAGCATTTGGATTGCAGGTCAATACTGGATAAACAGCGCTGACCACTGGAGCAAAACGTTCAATGAGAATCTTGTCCAACGCTTTTTAAAGAGGATCTCTCGGAAAGAGTTGTGGTTCGGCATACTGTTGATCCAAGTACTCCGCAATTATGAGGGATTCCACAATTGTAGGTTGATCCTTAACCCCAGTAAGCTGTAGGGCGGGCACTTTGCCCAGAGGACTATACTCCTTGTACCATTCCGGCTTCTCAATCAAATCTATGTAGATCTTGTGGTGCGGAATGTTTTTGGCGGCCAACAGGAGGTGAACCCGATGGCTAAAGGGGCAGAATGCCATGGAAAAGTAACGCAGGACGCCATCTTCAGGTAACTCCGGTTTGGTGGAACCTGCAAAGCCAAAATAAGTTGGTTAATTGGTTAGGACTTGAGCATAACCCCAAATCCCAGATGGAGATGAAAAATAACATTTCAGAGGGAGTACATATGGGTTTAATAGTTTATCGCTGAGCGGTTTCACAATCTAAGCTTAAGTATCTGGAAACCTGTTCTACAGGGTTATCATTTTAAAATCAGCCTGAACTGGAATCCTTTACAAGGGCTCGAAGGCAACATCATAGTTGGGCTTGCCCTCATGACGGGTACGCATGAACTTGGCGTGAATTCGGGCATCCAGAGCGGTGGCCTTGACAGCCTCATCCTGGGCAACCAGATCGCGCCACTTCAAAAGGTTCTGATAACGTGTCTTGTCCAGCTCGTAAGGTACATCCAGAGTGTACTTAAGGGCGGGGAATCGCTCGAACCAGGGCCAGATCATGTAGTCCGCAATGCCGATCTTCTCGCCACCGAAGTAGGGCGTTCCCCGCTTGGTGATCTCCTGCTCGAAGACATCCAGAGCGATCTCAAAGTTCTTGATGGCATCGGCGGGTGGGTCCTTGGTGAAGAGTACCGGATAGATGGCACTGACGGCGGGAGCCAGGCGTTCGATGAGAATCCTGTCCAGGGCCTTTTGCAAAGGATCCTTGGGAAAGAGGGAACCTTCGCCGGGATACTGGTCATCCAGGTACTCGGCTATGACCAGGGATTCCACAAGAGCCGGCTGGCCAGGAAGTTGGGGCAACTGGATGGCCGGCACCTTGCCCAGTGGACTGTAGTCGATGTACCATTCCGGTTTCTCGCTGAGATCGATGTAGACCGTGTGGTGGGGAATCTTCTTGGCGGCCAGAACCAAGCCGGCACGCTGGGAGTAGGGGCAGAATCTCATCGAGTAGTAGCGCAGGACTCCATCCTCTGGAATTTCCGGTTTGGGGGAACCTGTTGATGGGTGATTTGTGACGTCAGCGGAAAGTTTTCCATTATGCTTGGGTCTAAAATTATATCTCTATCTGTGGGGTAATTTACTATTCTCATGATGGGGGACAGATAAAACTATGGAATCAATTGCTAACTTTTGCCGCGTCACTATCCCGTTGACCTTGAAGTGCCCCCCACTTACCCCTCTTGAAGTGCTTCTGCGGCAGGGCCATTTTATTAACAATTTTAAGATAATTCCTTAAGCGAGAAATGTTGGCGGAAGAAATGGTTCCAATCGAATGACAAACTAGTGGAGATTTGATGGACCTTATATAGTAATCGCTGGACGAGTGAGTATATCGAATAGTCTTATCGATTGCTGAGCGGGTGACTTTACAGTTTTTGAATGTAAGTTTCTTTACTAACTTAATTCAAAATTACCCAAATAAAATTATGTTTTAAAGTCCATTAAACTGAAACCAACGTAACTTATTGAAAATTCAGTTGCATATTAAATGACACTCTCAAAGGAAATCCTTTTGGTTTTTTTTGTCAAACAAATCAAGTTTGAAAATATTTATATAAAATAATTTTTTTCTACTATCAATAATCCAATGTTGCTTTGCATATTAGAGTATTTATTTTCCAATCACAATAATGCTGCTTTATGTATATGTGGGTAAATTTTAAATCAATCTTCATAATATGTACATGTTGAGGTGTATAAACCATTATCATTATGACTACTCCAATTTGGCACGCTTGGCTTCATTGCTAAAAAAAATAAAAAAATTTATGGATCAGATATATAAAATTAAGACTTCATAGACTTACTAGAGCATATTGTAATCGGCATTGCCCGCCCGGCGGGAACTCATGTATTTATTATGGGTTTGTCCATCCAGATAGAAACATTTAACGGCTCTATCCTGGAGCATCAAGTCGCGCCACTTAAGCTGGTATAGAAAAATCTTGGTTTAAACATGACGACTTTAGAAACTATTACAAACATACCAATGAGCCAAAACGTTCAGGATTTAGTTCATAGCCATCACCCATGCTGAACTTCAAGGAGGCAAAACGTTCGCACCAGGGCCAAATCATATAGTCCAGCATTCCTGGTTTAGAACCGCCAAAAAACTCTGTTCCACGTTTGCCCAGCTCCTCTTCGTAAATGTCCAATCCGGCATAGAGATCAGTGTCGCGCAGCTGAGCGGGATTTTCGTGGAGCACCAGACGGTAGAAGGCGGTGATAAACTGTCCGAAGCGCTCGATCAGAATCTTCTCCTGGGCCTTCTTCAGCGGATCCTTGGGATACAGCGGCACCTCCGGATACTTCTCGTCCAGGTAGTCGCAAATTATGAGTGACTCGATCAGCACGGGATTGCCCGGTTCCTTGACCAGCTCTAGTGCCGGCACTTTCGAGGAGCTGCTCACCTGCAGGAACCACTCGGGTTTCTCGCGAAGATTGATGTAAGTGTCGTGGTGTGGGACGTTCTTGGCGTCCAAAACCAAGTGCACACGATGTGCATATGGGCAAAAGCGCATCGAATACAACTTCAAGACCCCATCATCCGGGAATATGGGCTTTTTGGAACCTGAAGGGTATTGCGTTTAATAATATCAATAAGGATTTTAGTTTTTAATATTTACCTGTGCTTAAATGCTGAGTGTCGCTCATTTTGGCAAACAAAAATAATATGGCAAAACAATACCGGTTTTGTTTTTGTCAATGAAACTTATCGATGTTTGATTCTGAAAGTTGAGGTTGCTCGATAAATAAACTCCAGTCTCAGTGATAGTAAAAAAAATACCAAATAGGAAATATAACTAGGCGTAGAGATGAACTAAATAATTTTTATATGACCTTGTCTAGATATATTAAAATTTCAATTTAAAAAAAATTAATATCATTGAATTTAAATTCCAGCTCATTGTTTTTTAATTTATTGCGTACTAGATGTGTACGAAGTGTTACATTTTTTAGCATACTTTAGCTTTAAATTTATAACTTTCATTTTTACTTAATAGTTAAGTAGTACACTTTTAGAAACTAAAGGTCTTTCCCGGTTGAATTTCAAAACGTGATAGAGATGGGGGCAAACGTCGCCAGCGATAAAAATATACCAAAATTAGCCACTTCAAAAACATACCGAAAAGTATTTTTTGCCCTTAGCCACAGACGGTCACTCTGCCCTTGCCGCCTATCGATAATTGTTATAAAAAAAATTTGTTATAGTTGCGGATTTTTTGTGTTTGGCGGAGTGTGCGAAAAAGAGATGGCAGCGGCATATGTTTAGCGTGTCCGGAGAATGTTTACAGTTAGCCCGCCGCTTGCGTAATTGAGCCTGTGTTGGTGTTGGTGGCCGTGTCCGTGCATTATTCTGCCGCTCCGGTCGGTTTCTCCGTGTCAATCCGAGATTATTGCAGCGTAATTGACATTCGGCGTTATCTCGAAGGCGCCTCTAACTTACGCCCACCGCATCAGAAGTAGCCCCAGAAACGGCCAGCATTATCTTCGATCCCGCATTGAATCTCGCAATTGATAAATACACTTGCGTGGCCGTGTGTGTGATGTGTTAAACAGTCCGGTAAATTCACTGGTGAGTAGTGGTATAGCTATATTAATTACTCGTACTCTAGATTAATCCAAGTTTAAGTTTAGTATAGGAACTGCAAGCGACGGGCCCCCCTCCTTACAACCACCGCCCACCACCCACTCGTATTTATTTATAGCGGGCGATTTCCATGTGCGAGTGATTTTGACACCCGCTCACTTACATACTCACACTCGCACACGCACACAGATGCACACGTAACTACACTAGCATTCAGCACGTTTTTATGCTATTTTCGATCGGCATACTTATAGTCATGACTATGTTCTATACATAATTCAACGCCATTCCGAATGCCATTTCCATTCGCTATCTTCAGAGCCTAATTACGCAAAATCAGGGAAATTATAGAAGCTCACAGGCAGAATGCTTATCTTCCAGTGGCGGGGCTTGAAAATGTTCTAGAAGGGGTTCTCAAATAATACTACCTTGAATGTCAACAAAACTAGTTCACGTTTTCGTAAAGGGCAGACTCGATGCAGTGAACCATGAAATTCCAGTGTGATCACTGTAACGATTGTAACACATGTATCAGATTAAGTACTATTAATTATAAATATTGAAATGTTCTGAACTTATAAGCATTTCATTTACAGTGGTAATCATTTAACAAAAAAAAATTCTAATGCTGTCACGTAATTCTTTCTTATATTTAGCTCAATGGTAGACCCACCTCTTATGTAATCAATAATTCATCTACAAATTTAAGTTGTTTCCCATGAGTAATTATATGCCTGACCCCTTATTCACTGTTGCAGTAATATAGGAGAACAAAGGTTTCAAATAATTAGTTGAGTGTCCCAATTTAAATCGGTAAATTTGTTGGGAATTAATTTACAACTTTATCTATAGTAAAGTGTATAATAGTTGATGTTGAATATTGAGAAATTATAGAATAATATTACCGAACAGGGACGAGACCCCCTTTGGTTTCGCCACTGTTATCGCCGGTGACCCATATATCAGCATGTTCATTCGCACTTTTGGCTGCCTTCCACATAGTTTTTTTTTCAGAAGTGTAGGTGGGTGCATGAATCATAGATAATGCTGGTTGTGGCCAGCAGAAGACTCCTTATCGGCCGAGAACTTTTCCCATTTCTGCAATGCCCACATGCCTTTAATCAATTATTCATGAGCCAGCGAAATTTGCAAAGTTATATTTGCAATATGGAATATCAACCGCAACCGCCTTGCAACCTGGCGCCGTCAGCTGAGGCAGCTAAACACTCGATACGGAAAACAAACAATTCTCTACGATCACTTTGATGCCTCCAGATGAATTATTTATCGCTTATGGCCAGCCCTTCAACATCAGTTATGTGTCAGTCGTTGTACTAGTTGAATATTAAGCCGCCAGTCCACGTAATTCAGCAGTCGACGAGCATGGCAAGGTCAGAGCCTCGTCCCGTCCGGATTCGATCCAATCGAAGCGGATCCGCAACGTTCCATTCCGACTCCGACGTGATCGACCTCTGCAAAAGTTGCCGTTTAAATGCTTCTGACCGTCCAGAACTTCGATTTCATGTGGTCGTCACATGACCCGAGTTTTTCATATCTTCCAACAAAGAGTCAGTCTACTGAAATTTCACATCAAGCTTTGAGCCAACAATTTACTGGCATACCAAAAAGGTAAAAAAGATAATGCCCAAATGTGTGTTTGTGTGTTTGGGTTCTTAGGTACACATTTTGCAGGTTTATTTGCCTGGAGTTTCAGGTATGAAATTCGTTTGTAGATAGGGCGAGATAAAAGATAAATTGCTTCGCCAGGTAGAGATCATTTCTCGAGGGTAGATGTCTGGTTGAAATTTCAGGCCAAGCAACTGGAGGCTTCGTCAGCATTTAGCACAAATGATATGTGCATATCGTATATACATATGTATACAAAATCGTGCGAGCAGTTTTACGAGTCAGTTCCCAGGTTTTTGCCGGCGTTGCGCAATTTAAGGTTGTTGTATAAAAAATGTGATATTTAATAGTGCCAATCAGCAAAGGTTTCAGTCGCGGAGATATCATGTGAAATTATTTCAATTAAGAGTGACTCATTGACAAGCGATCGCATGTGAAATTTCGGCTTTAATTGGTAGCTGCCGAATGAAATCCGGTTATGTGAACTAAACATTATTGGGGAACGGTTTCCAAGAATTTTCTGGTTATAAAATGGAGATTTCATGTGAAATTCAAATATGTTGACTCAGACTGGGCAGTAATTTCACAATTTTGTGAAATAAACCCTCTTAAAAATGAGTTGTACCCCTCCGGTCTCGTTTATCAATGTTTTTTTGTGCGATCGTCTGTGAAATTTTAGCTTTTATCGGTAGATGTCAAGCAAAATTTTTGTTTTGCGGATAAAACATAAAGGGGAATGTGTTTCAGAAAGATAAAATGAATTAAAAGGTCTTCAGCATTTGTTGAAATTTCACGATTTGCAAATTAAAACCCATCCTCCATTTGAACATTAAGATTGTGGGATCATATGCAAAAAATTCTCTGGTTCAGTGAAGGAATAAATCAGGGAATGTTAAGGATTGGTATTTGTCTCAAATATTTGCTGTTATCCGATTTCGGTATAGGGAAATTAGATATCAAGCGAAACACCTTTTTCTTGACTCAGCACATAGATTGGTTTTTCTTTGAGTCAGCTTAATTCATTGGAGATATCATGCGAAACTTTGTGTATCAACTGAGTCAGCAGTGAGTTCACTGACTTTTTGGCTTTACCATTGCCACGGGGGACCGAAAAAACCGTCGCTTAAAATTTCGTATATGGAGATGTTATGCGAACTCAAATTGAGTCAGCAAAAATTGAATGTACATAGAAGACTGCAAAGACAGAAAAATGTGTATACAGAGCACACTTGATATGGTTGACCAATAAAAATCGAATCAAAAAAGGGCGACCACAGCAGTATTATTTTCATTTTAGAAATTTAACCTATACAATTAATTAAATAGAGAAAAATATTCTTATTTGTAAGTTCTAACAACTATTTAACTCACTGTATAGAATTTATTTTTATGGTTTTGCTTTAAACACAACTGCTTCTCAGAAACGCATAAATATTTATATATTTAAAGTTCATAAACAAAAATAGCTCACAATTTTCTGACTGCAAGAATATGATGTACATACATTAAAAATATATATAAATGCTTAAAAATTAACGTGTTCGTTTTGAAATGCTAAAATTAATTAACAAAACTTATGAGTTTTAAAGAAATTGTATGTAAAAACAAAAATGTAAATAATTAATTACTTTAGATTAGTAATCAATTACATTAAGATTATAGTGAATACCGTAAAATCTTTGAAACTATTTTAGTTTTCAAGTTAATTGACATTTTCATTGAGTCTTAGTTAATACAGCATTAATCCTCTTGGTCCAAAGAACAAAATGCAAGTGGAATCGTTGGGTTCTGGCGTTCTCTTCGCTTTTAGCCATGGTCCGAAATCAGCCACGCCCTGTTAAGTTAGTACGCCTTCGATGTGGGCATGCTTTAATGTGGTCCCCGTCACATACACACACTCACCCAATTAGCCATCAACGAAACGAGGCTTATAAATCAAACCGCAAGCGACGCGCGCCGCTCAGTTGCAAAGTGTGATCAAAGCTCGCTGGTGGTTCTTCGGATCGCGGATCGGTTCGGTTTCCAAATAGTTCTTTTCGGTACGATCTCCATTCAAGTTATTTTTAACATTTCCTTATATCAATGTGTGGGGTGAAAGAAAGTGAATTCAATTGATGACCCTCCACTCCAAAAATATATAGCATTGAAATCAACATAAAAACGAGCTCGTTAAACATTTTTCTCCCAGTGGTTTCATTAAAATCACGCGAACAGAATTTAAATGAGGCTTGATGACAAAAAAAAAACAAGATATAGTAAAAAACAAAATACAAACGAAACAGTCAGTCAATGGCGGCAGCACTTGACCAATTGACTGAGTTTGGAGGATTGATTGGGAATATTTGCCGATGAATTGCGTCTGATCTTATTTGGGAAATTTGTATGCGAATAATTTGCCTCGTTGATTGATTTTTATTGCCATGAAATTAAGTTTTTGCCTGGCGGTGATTGTTCGCGAATCCCTCTGGCAGTTTGGCAGTTAATTTCCTCAACAAGTGCGAACTTCAGCCTCAACCTTTAACACTTAACCCCTTGCCAAGGCGACATGTGTCCTTGTCAATGCCGTGGGTGCAATGACAGCCCGCCCACTTCCTGCGACCTTGACGCGCCCCATCCCACACTCAATGCAGCAACAATGACGTTTCTATTATTACCTATGGGTGTTTTGGCTTTCGCTTTTATTATGTCGATAACCAGCAAGCCACCCACGTGTAACTGTATTATACCCCCACTTCTCACCTGTGTCGTAAATTTTTGCCAAAGTTTTATCAATAAATTGGATTTCAATGCAGGACCGTTGAACTAACTGCCCAAGTTGTGGCATTAATGCGCAATTGCAAAATTGTTTGAGACCCACACACAAAACAACAACAACAAGTAGTTACAGCCCACTACAATAACAGACTTATTTTCAGTTAGTTGGGGGGGGAATTTCAAGTCTCGCTTGGCAAATTTTCTTTTTGGCGCGTGCCACTCGTAGTTTGCTCATCGAAGAAGCCGCATGGCATCGACCACTTTGGCTCCCGACTAGGAGCTGAAAAGTAGTTGGCAGATAAGCCACAATTGGTATAATTTAATGAGATAAAGTTATGTAACTTTTACGAGTTGGCTTCCTTTGAAGTGATTTTTGAAGTGTTATCAGCAAATATTTACAGTAAAGAAGACTTAAACATTTGGATTCTGGCATTGAAAATAATATAAAATCACTGACAATATGTGATTGGAGCTTTGTGATTCAAAAAGCAAATGCTTTGATAAGAAGTTGGAATGTTAAGACATCGTGGAATTAGTAGATTTTTCAAAGTGATAAGCTGAAACATTTTTAAAGTGTTTTTATCAGTAATGATGTAGCAAAACTATAAAGACTTCCTTTGATATTCTGCTAAGATAAATATATAAAATTAATTAACTTCATAAAGTTTTTGTGCATTAGAAGTAAAATAAACAAAATATTATAGTATAAACTCTTAAGTTTATTTATTATGTAAAGATTTCTTATTAAAATGTGGTTACACCTAACAATTTATATACCAAAAACTCAAAACTAAATGAGCCCCAAAGGCAATTTTTAAACTGTACGAAGTGATCTATTCCTTTTGCCCATACCAGCAGAATTCTTTGTTTATAGCAGACAACAAATGCAGTGAAACCGCCCATTTATGGTGATCTTGGGGCACCTGAAACCAGTCTGTTGTTTGGGCTGCTCGCTGTCCCATAATTGGAGGTGTCGATCCACCAACGAACGATCTTGAACTTCCGCTTTGGTTGGCTGACTATTTTGGTTATGCAACGGGCAAATGGCTTTTGTAAGTGCCACCGATCGTTTCGGATCGGTTCAGTCGTAATGAGTGTGGGATGGTAACAAGGGGCTGACAGTAGAACCCCATAAACGATTTTTAATCAGATAGAATTCCGTGTTGGTTTTCAGTGTACTTGTTTTCGTTTTTGGCTAATCTCTTACCGACTTTTCCGTTCAATTCCAGATCGAAATAAGCGCTCCAATTTACGACTGACTGAGGAATATATAATGATCGCGGCAGATCTTGCTGGGCAGTAAACAGAAACGAGAGTCCGAGTCATTAGCATTAGTCCTAGGAGTGGAAGTACAAGAGCAAGTCGGGCCTAAAAATGGCGCGTCACATTATGGCCGTTTGCGTGGTGTGCCTGCTATGCGCGCACCGCCTGCACTGCCAGGATCACATCGAGAGTCTACTGGGCCCGGCTCTTGGGACGACTCACAGCCAGGAGCAGCTCAACGCCCGCGTCTATACGAACCTAAGTCCCTCCAGCGAAACCACCGATCGGCGCCAGCAGCGATCCGCTTCTGGCGACGACGACACCCCCAACTACAGCACTAGTCCGCCCTCGAGGAGACAAAAGCGCCATGCTGGCCATGACCACGGCCATAGCTCCGAGTCCCGCGTCCCGCAGATCACCCAGTACTATCTCGAAAAGCTGATGGTCCAGAACGAGCTGATGAACAGCAGCGAATTCGATGGCCTGCTACAGCAGCTCAGCCTCCACTCGTTGGCCAGTGGGGCAAGTGAAGGAACTGTGAGTATAAATAAAGCTAATCTCCCGTTCATCGTTGACTAACTCTGGTGATTCTTATTCGTTCCGCAGTGCGTGCCCGCTAGTCGCCTAGTGCATCATGTCCAGCCTCACGATCTTCACCATCACCACGACCATGATGAAAAGGAGGAGGAGCTGCAGCTCAAAAACTGCACGCTGAGTCAGAATGGTACCAACTCCAATGTCACCTGCGCACTCCTGCTTAGCGACCACACACATTCACATAGCGAGGAGGTCAAGAACTTTGGTCTGAGTGAAAAGGACCTGCTAAACCTGTGTCCGGTTCTCCTGTACGAGCTGAAGGCACAGAGCGGTGGGTGCATAGAGCCGACAGTACTGTCCGACATCGACAGCACGGAAAAGCTGCTTGAGGCTGAGAAGGACAAGGATATGTTTTACGGTGGGTTTGAGCACCCTATATACCAATATTTGTTTACTTATCTTAATATTCCTTTGCAGTGTGGATCTATGCTTTCATTTCTGTGTTTGCCTGCGGACTCCTCGGCTTGGTAGGAGTAGCCATCATACCGTTTATGGGTTCGCGGTATTACAAATACATCATCCAGTATCTGGTGTCGCTGGCCGTGGGTACGATGACCGGCGATGCCCTTCTGCACTTGCTGCCTCATGTGAGTAGAGCTGATAACCCCGCCCGTTATTTCCTAAGACATGACTGATGTTAAATTCCCGATTAACAGTCTCTGGCAGGCCAGGATGAACGTGGTATGATCATGAAGGGGCTGGGCTGCCTGGGCGGCATCATCTTCTTCTACGTGACGGAGCATGCGCTGACCATGATCTCCGAGTGGCGCAAGAGCGTGGAAAAGAAGGAGACGAAGAAACCGTCGCGGGCGAAGGTGATGCGGGATCCAGACTCATCTGTAAACAACTCGGTGGCCGGCGACAAGATCTGCAAGCAAAAGTACAGCTCGTATCCGTACTGCTACGACGAGATCACCATGAACAACAAGCAGAGCGAGTGGATGCACCTTCCCGGCGATGGATCGAACTCGGCGGCGGGCGCTGGCGGAGACGCTGCCTCCGCCTCGGAAGTGCGTAACGGTGTGGGCGATCACGACGGCTCCAACGACATGGCCGCCGCCGCCGAATCCCTGCTCTCAACGCTGCACACGAACTGTGTAGAGATGAACCACCACAATCACAAGCACAACAGCCACCAGCACAGCCAGGAGGGACAGGACAATAACACCATTGTCACCGATCTGGACGGGAATGCGGTGTATGAGTCGAATAGTGCGAAGGATAAGAACGGCCAAAACGACCATGTGACTGTGATCCTGCGGGAGCACGAGTCATCGCATCATGGTCACAGCCATCGACATGGACACGTTCACTCGCCACCCGAGACGCTGAGCGCCGTGGCCTGGATGATCATCATGGGCGACGGGCTGCATAATTTTACGGATGGCATGGCTATCGGTGCAGCCTTTGCGGAGAACATTGCTGGTGGCTTCTCCACCTCCCTGGCCGTCTTCTGCCATGAGTTGCCGCACGAGCTGGGCGACTTTGCCATTTTGATGAAGGCGGGCATGTCGGTGAAGTCGGCCGTCTACTACAACCTGTTGACGGGTGTCCTGAGTTTCATCGGCATGATCTTCGGCATTGCTTTTGGGCAGTCGCAGGGCGTGGCCCAGTGGATGTTTGCCGTGGCTGCCGGACTATTCATTTACATTGCCTTAGTCGATATGGTGAGTTGTTTATTATATTAAACCTGCTGATTATATTTACTAATTCATAATCCTACTTTTGCAGATGCCTGAGATCTCTGCCTCGCACAAATCACTGGGCCAGTTCCTGCTGCAAATACTCGGCATGCTGAGCGGAGTGGGAATAATGCTAGTGATTGCCCTTTACGAGGGCGATCTCATGAGCGTGTTTGGAACGGCGGGAGGCGCATCTTTCCAGCACGTGCATTAATCACATAACTAAAATTGTAACCAACCGCAGCGAATCTTGTAGCGTATTATGTGAATTGCAGCGAATCTTGTGTATTAACTGCATTTTTCCGCCAGGCCTATAGGACCTCTTGAATTATTATTTTTTGTATAATTTGATTAGATTGTTGTTTACCTTAGTCCACAGAGTTACACAAAACACAAACCACATACACAGCCGGTTGGCGCTTATCAAACGCATTTGTTATCCAGTTTATGAAACACACAACCAACACCCGCGACGAGATTCAGCAAACTCGTTTTATTTTCGTTCCTAATTTTGCTTCTGAACTGCGTTCGAGTCGACTTTACACCCGATTATATATAAGATGTCTTAAAATTGCCTAGGTTATAAAGTGATCTTGAATTTAGAAGAAACCAATTGAAAAGCAAGTCGAGAAAGTTTTTCTAAAACGACACATGAGAAGAACTACAAATGACAGAAAATGGATTGGATTTGATCTGTATCCCAAATCCATTAATTTCTGATCTTATACATTGAAAGCAGAACTTAACAATTACGATATATATATTGTAGAATATGTATACATACATATAGTTTTTGTATTTCGTAGTCTAGGGTGCGCACGTTTACTTTACTGTTATTATTTTTGACAGTACTTAATGACTCTAACGTATATAATTTCCACTTAAGGAAAGACACAAAACCACTTAAGCTTAATTTATTATCGTATTTGTAATAAATTGAAAAGATTATTAAATGGCACGCTCATGCATAATTTAGATTTTCGCTACCCCGTAGCGCCCTCGATTAATTATGATTTTGTAATAAACCAAGCTAAAACAAAACAGTTTATTTTTTTCTTATTTGAGTTGTAATTTTTTAATTGCGCACACAACTAACACGAAAGTGATTGTGATTAAAAATGAGTAACTAACATTTGTAAAATGGTGCGACTTGCGGCACGATCGCCCTTAATGACTATCCCACACACACACCGATCTGCACACGAAGCTATCACTTAAACTGAGCAACTATAAATATTTTGTAAAGCCCACACTATGTGCTATTGAGGCAGTAAAACCTATATTAATTCTAGCTGTAAGCTCTACGACAACTACAAACAGGAAACCAAAAACAAAGAATAAAGAAGTAAACATATATATACACACTGTGCTAAAGAAACTTTTGGAGAAATGGATGTAATAATACTACTTACTTTGGTGATATCACGCAAAAGGCAATTGAAACAACTAACGAAATAATTTTACAATAATGTATTGATAAACATGTTTGTAAGTAAGTCGTCTAAGTGTGCACCAGCAGATGCATATGGCGCGTATTTTGCTACATTTTTGTTTATTTTGTAACGGAACGTAAACACTTTTTAAATTTTCAAAATAAATGTTTTTCCACCTCAACGTCATACACAACTTAAGATAGCGAGAGCTTTTGAATTGGGCGGGCTAGGGCGGTTATCGATAGCCATGATGGTGATCTACGGTTCGATACTTTTTAGAACTCTTGGTATTTAGCAGTTTATTTTTTTCAATTAAAAACTGATCCAAAAATGTTTATATATTTTTGGTAATTCCAACAATACTATTATTACTAAATTACTAAAATAATTTTTAGTATCTCAAAACGTTTTGAATTTATATTCCCCTCTTAATATTATTGTTGATTGGTTTTGGTCTGTAAAATATTTAATTTGATGTTTACTATAATAAAAATTGACATTTAAATCATGCCAACATATGTTTTAGTACAGCTTGTGCGATACTATCGCTTTTCGAGGAAAAAACGGTGCCGGCTGGCTATCGATATCCCCAGTTGTGCCGTCAGCCGTTACCCACCACTAGTTGTCAACATATAATTGCAAAGATGCGGCCCACATTCCTGGCCATTTTGTGCTTCCTGGCGTGGAATCCCTGCTCCGAGGCGACCGGCAACCTGAGTCCTGGGGCCGTGGGCGTCCACCGACGCTTCGAGTACAAGTACTCGTTCAAGCCGCCATATTTGGCCCAGAAAGACGGAACCGTGCCGTTTTGGGAGTACGGGGGAAGTGAGTACGAGTGGAAGACGCAGCTCCACGTCAGTTGTTCTGGCCCACTCGCTGCCGCTCTGCTGCCGTGGGTGCGAGCGAGATGGCGCGAGGCCGCCAAGTGTACACGCAGGCACTTTGTTTGGATTTCGATTTGTCCATCATTCCGGGTTTTTCTGTAGCCAAAACTTGTTGCTTCTCATTCCAGATGCTATTGCCAGTTCGGAAAGTGTGCGCGTGGCGCCATCGCTGCGCTCCCAGAAGGGTGCCATCTGGACGAAATCCCAGACGAACTTCGACTGGTGGGACGTGGAGATTGTATTCCGGGTGACGGGACGTGGCCGGATCGGAGCGGATGGACTGGCCTTCTGGTACACCACGGAAAAGGGTGACTACAATGGACCAGTGTTCGGATCTTCGGACCGCTGGAACGGTCTGGCCATTATGTTCGATTCCTTCGACAACGACAACAAGCACAATAATCCCTACATCAGTGCTGTGCTCAATGATGGCACCAAGTTGTATGACCATGCCAATGATGGAACCACCCAGCTCCTGAGCGGTTGCTTAAGGGATTTCCGTAACAAGCCCTTCCCCACGCGGGCGCGCATCGAGTACTACAACAATGTGCTCACCGTGCTCATCCACAACGGAATGACCAACAACAACGATGATTACGAGCTGTGTCTGCGGGCGGATAACGTTAATCTGCCCAAGAACGGCTACTTTGGCATTTCTGCAGCCACGGGCGGTCTTGCTGATGACCACGATGTGTTCCATTTCCTGACCACTTCGCTGCATGCCGCCGGACAGGCACAGGAGCAGCCCAAGGTGGACAACCAGGAGAAGCTGACGCAGGAGTACAAGGAATACCAGGACAAACTGGAGAAGCAGAAGCTGGAGTACAAGAAGGATCATCCCGACGAGGTAAGTGCCACGCAGGCAACTAATAAAGATGGCTTATCTGTTAGACTGATAATTAATAACCGCGTAATCCAATAGCACAAAGACGACGAAGACTGGGAAGAGTTTTACGAGTCGGAGAACCAGCGTGAGCTTCGCCAGATCTGGCAGGGTCAGAGCCAGATTGCCGATCATTTGCGCGAGCTGTCCCGCAAGGTCGACGAGATTATTGGCCGCCAGGAAACTACGTTGTCGCTCGTCTCGCGCAATGCCGGACAGGCTCTGCCTCCGCCTGCCGCTGGTGGAGTGCAGCAGCAGCTGCCCGTAGGGGCCGTTACTAGGACCGATGTTGATCTCCTGCTCACAAATCAAAACGTGCTGCTCAGCTCCATCCGAGAGATACGGCAACTGGTGGGCGATATCAATGTGCGTACTGATAACATTCAAATGAATCAGAAGCACGCGCCCACAGCACAAATCCAATCCACCGGCTATGATGTGCAAACGCTGATCGCCGAGATGCGCGATGGCATGAACCAGGTCAAGCAGGGCATCACCCACGTGGGCCAGAGGTGAGAAATACGCCTAGCATCATCTTAATTTCTAAAACCTGTTATCATACAAGTCACCATTTTATTCAATTAACATGGGAAGATGCGGAAGTGACCTCGTGCTTCAGCGAACGTTATCAGTATTATTTTTGTTTATACATATAGGAGAACTTTTTCTTATATTCATGCTAAACTAAATTTTAAAATCGTGTTTGGTATATTGTTTTAAATGTAAATTTGCTGAATAGGCAAGCGATGAAAATATAAAGTCAAACGTAAAGCATAGGATTTTAAGAATCACTTTTAAGAGTTTACAGTTTTTTGTTAGTTTTAAATTATTTTAGTCCAGTTTACTTCAATTTTTTCAGAGGAATTGGTCAGGATTTTGCGGTTTCATTAGTTTATATTACATAATCTTAATATCGTATTAAATGTGGTTTTACTTTACAGATTGGCAGCACCGCAAGCAGGAGCGCAGGTGGCCAATTGTCCCACGGGCAACTGCGTTGGAGTTACATTGTTCCTCAGCATAACCGTTGTCCAATTGCTGCTAGTCTTTATCTACAGCGTGTTCAAGTGCGTATTGAATTAACTTTTAATTCGGGATCCACAACTAATTAATTTTTTACATCTTTTTTAATTTCAGAAACCGCAGCGAAGCACAAGCGAAAAAGTTCTATTAGGCATAATCGCGACACCTTGGGATCGTAACGAGTAAAGAAACACACAAGCATACACCCACACAAAACACGAGGAAACACATTCGCACACCTGACTAGGCAGCAACTAAATTTAGTTAAAATGAAAGATTTAAGACTTCTGCGTACCATGCTCTACCATTACGTATAACTGTTTGTTTTTTTTATATAGAAGTCTGTTTGATAAGTCAGGTTACGAATATAAATTCAAGTCGTTACTTAATCGAAGAAAGAACAAGAAATTTGAACAATGAATAAGCCTCATGACAATGCCACGCAATACAAAACGAAGAAACCGTCGAAGAAGCCACAATACAAACTTCCCCCTAGTAATAGCCAGCAGAAGATGTTTTTTATTGTTTAGCAAGTCAAGTCGAAAGTTTCACTCCATTCTCAACTCTGCATATCATGGGTGCAGGCATTTCTATAAAACAAAAAAACAATCCCAAAAAAAAAAAATAAAAAATGAAAAAACTATAAATATATGAAAATTCCGTAAACGTAGCTAATTTCTATGATATCGTGGACTCGGCTCCCAAAAATATAATTGGCAACATAAATCAATTTTTCCATTTTCTTGTGCTATGGATTAAACAAAGAGCCAGCTTTTTTGTTATTTAGCCTGAAAATGAATTTATGTAATAATTATGATGAACTGTCTCACTAAGTTTTGTTTTGTTCGCATGCCTTTGGTGCGATGTAAGAAAGTTTTCTACTGAATAATCTTAATATACATACTGATAAATTATAAAACAATTGAAGAAAGTGTGTTTTTATATATGTTGTCCATTCCAGTCTCGATAGAAATGTTTAAACTGAAAATAAAAAATCAATTTATAGAAAAAATCGTCACAAAAGACTATCTTTAACTGTCCAACTTTATCGCTTGATTGTGCTCTTTCATTTTATTTTTACACTCCCCCGAACCCGAAGCTATTTTCGCTGATATCGACAGAGTGAAAACTTTATTTCTCGAAGAGTCCTCGTAAGCATAAACTAGAATCCCTGTCAGTGGCCCATTCTCGTCCTCCCAGCGATGACAATGCGGCAAAAATGGCGCCACTTGGACGCCAAAGTGCGTGGAGCTGGGGACGAGTTGGGTCCTGGTGAACTTTGGCCGTAAAATGTAACTGCCATTGGTGGCATTGTGGGCAGGTCCTCTGTGGTTTGGGTTCCCATCACACCACCACCCAAAAAAAAAATCCCAGGAAAACCCAGCGAAAGATAAATGGACAGAAGCCAACGGCAGTCGCGGCCCATGTTATAAATTCACTTTGAGATTGGGGAAGGGGTTATATGTGGGGTTTTGAGACAGGCAGCTCTGGTGTGTGGTTGGATGGTAGCTCCGCTTATGTGTTCCGAGTCCTATGTACTTCCATTGCGCAGGAGCAGGACCAGTAGAAAAGGTTACTGGAAGGGGGACTTGAACGACTATTAACTCTTTATAACAGCCAATCGGCATGAGGCTCGCAAACAAAGAAAATGGTTCCACTCTTAGAGGGTTTACACAGCAGGGATGGGACTGGTGCATTGTAACAAAACTAACTCTATAGTATAGACTCCATACAAGCAACTAAACTAATATATATTTTAAGACATTTTGCTTTAGTTATGAAATACAGATCTCAGTCTATTCACTTTCTCCGCATAGCTAATGTTTAGTGAGTGTTATCTTTATAAATCATGTTGGTTATCCAGATCGTAACGATTTGTTAAAGTTATGCATTAGGCAAATAAAAAGATACTAATAAGCTATAAATCTAACTTCGCTTTTTAACATAAAAGTAATTAATTACAATTTTTCAAAATTTTCGGTGAAATTAAATTTTTAATTAAAAACACAATGAATTAAAATTGTACATTATTTAAAATAAATATAAACCAAGATAATCTAAAATATTTATTGAAGTATATTTTATTGAAGTTTATTTAAAACTCAAAATAATAAAAAAAAACGTTAAATTTCAAGAAATAATTTAATATTTTAAAGCTTTAATAAAGATACATATTTAAGTTTTTAGAATTCCATTT